AGAGAAGGGCAATATCCTCACCTCTAATTTAAAATTGAATTTGTCAGGAACCAAATAGAATTATTCTTGTTAACAACATGTTGTAATCTACAAATAATGCTATGGTCAACTTCAGTGATGTTTATGCAGAAATATATTTGGGATTTTGTTATGTCTTGAGAGCACAATCTATAATAATTATAATTTAGCAGAATAAATAGCAAACAATAAGAGCTTTAAAGCAAAGGAAATATGTAGGAAAAAAGGTTTAAAGTCAGTGGAAGACACAATGCTTGCAACTTTTCTCATATTCTTCTACTACATTAAAAAAAATTAAAAAAAATCCAGAATCCTCTCTGCCACCATAAAAAAAATCCAGAATCCTCTCTGCCATCATAATCTGGCTGTTGCTACGTGACAGTAGATTTGAATCATTCTGTGGAGACAGTCTTAAGCACCAGTGACCACTGTAACCTGAAGTTACAGGCGTTGCACCAGAGAACCTCTGTAGCTGTAACCCAGTAACTGCTGACAGCACAGTGTGAGTGACTTCAGGGATGAAACACTCCTGTCCCTCCTGAGGTGTATGATCCTCCATTTTCCCAGATTAATCCCAAGAGTAAACACAAACGGGAAAAAAAAAAAACAGTAAAAATGCAAATATTACGTAGGCCAAGGCACAAAAATGTAATTTGCAATGTTCCGTTCAGCTGTGGGTGCAGGGGGGAAACATCTCCCAAAGCAGCGCGACTGCTCCGCTTCAGGGCAGGAGCTCCGGGGAGGAAGGAAAGGAAGGAATGAGGAGGACTCAGGCCTGGGTCAGGGATTACCTGGGCGTCATCTGCAGATCAAAGCCAACCCATTATTAGGTGGCAGAAATGAAGCTGACCAAGTGGACCAAGCAGGAAACACAGCGCCGAGCAACAAGGACAACTGCTGCTTTACGTAGGCAGGAATCGCTTTGCTCTTGCTGAAAAATTGGAGTGGAAAGTGGCAGAAATAGAGCTTTGAGAATTCTGCTTTTAAACAGGAAATGTTGCATATATAGGAATCAATCCAGAATGGGCAAATAATTTTTCTAAGTACTTTTTTTTAAAAAAAAAAAAGCCAACAATCTGTTTCTGAAAGCCTTTTTAGGTGTAATTCCTGAACTGAGTAGGCAACAACTTCTGCTGTCCACAAGGCTCTTGGGAGCTTGTCCATTGCTTTTTAAAAAATATTTTTCTTTTTATTTTCTTCTCTTGGCAAAAAAACCCAGCAAAAACCAAAAACAACAAGAACAACAAGACCCCAACACCAAAAAACACCCATCTGAAGCAAGCAAGTTTGCATCCTGGTTCACAGAAATGGTCCACAGTCCTGACAATTACCAATCTGTCATTAGATCACAAATTAGGAATGATTTTTGTAGGGAAGTTCCTGCCACCTTGTGGCAAGAACTTTCACCTTTCTTGAATCAGAAGAATTAAAATGGATACCTGTTACCTTGATAGAACAAATGTTGAGCTAACCAAACAGAGAGCACGAGACCAGATGCTTTGTCTGGGTTGCTTCACTATTTGGGCATTATCACTTGTAAATATTGCTTGTATTTTAAAATAAGCGTAATTTAAATGAATAGATAACTTTATTGCAACGTTTTTCCTGCAGTTGCTTCCTCCATCTTTCTTGGCAACACACTACAGAAATTAATTCCGTGGGAGTATTGAGCCAGGGGAAACCACAACAACTTTGGTATTTGTAGAAAAAGTTGTTGACAAGAGTAATTGATGGTGTCAGCATGGTGCTCGTTTGTGTTCACCCTGAAAGGTATCTGCTTTCATTACGGCGCTGTTTGCTTTCAACTGTAGGAAATGTTCAGCTATAGCTTCCTTCCTGGTGACTACAAAGCTTTTGTGACATCTTGATGTCCTTCATGAAGCCTTTTCTCTGCTCCAAACATGGGAAAATAAAATCGACACCTGTGAAGAAGAACGTTCATCTTTGTATTCCTTCCTGTTTCTTTTGCATCGGGTGTCAACCGATGTGGTTCTGTATATCCATGCCCCGAGGGTACGTGGCAACTGTTTTCACTGCTGCTGGTCCAACGGGGTGACCGGGGTTGTGAAACTGCGGCAGCTTCAGCTGCCTGTGCGACAGCGTTGCATGAGAAAAAAAGAAGTTTTTTACTGGCTTGGTTTGTCACTTCTTTGATTTCCCAAGCTTAGTATTTCTCGCGATGCCTTATCTGACGAAACGCGTTGCAACCATGCTGATTTAAATAGATTAAAGCAACCGACGGATCTCCCAGCACCCCTCCTCCCCCCGAGTGCAAACTCACTCCGTTTTAGGACCTGAAACTAATACTGAGATCACTAGAAGAAACAGGTGGCATCTAATTTGCAATAGTTAAGACTGCCTGTATTGCTATTTGTATGCAAACAGAAGTCTCGATACATGGGATTTCCTCTTCCTAACGTAGAATCATAGAATCACAGAATGGGTAGAGTTGGAACGAACCTTAAAGATCACCCAGTGTCACCCCCTGCCCTGGGCAGGGACACCTCCCACCAGACCAGGTTGCTCAAAGCCCCCTCCAGCCTGGCCTTGAACCCCTCCAGGGATGGGGCAGCCACAGCTTCTCTGGGCAACCTGGGCCAGGCTCTCACCACCCTCACAGCAAAGAAGTTCTTCCTAATATCTCATCTAAATCTCCCAATTTAAAACCATTACCCCTTGTCCTTACCCCTTACTCCACTTCCTGACAAAGAGCCCCTCTCCGGCTCTGCTGTTGGCTCCCTTCAGATATTGGTAGGCTGCCACGAGGTCTCCCTGGAGACTTCTCTTCTCCAGAACATGTTGTAACAGATTCTAATTAAGATACTGGTGCCTGTGCTCATGAAATGCTAAACTGACAGTCTTGGGGATGGCAATCTTTACCTGGAAGTAAGATCCCAAGTTTGGATGCTTGATAAGCAGCATTTATAATACTATGTTAATGGGGCTTGAACCTAAGTCATTTCACTGTATGTGGCTTTAAAGCACCTTTCCACACAAAACTTTACCTGTGCCAAATGCTGGAGTGCAATTATGTAGAGTAGAAGATGCCACAAGCTGGTGGAGTATAAGGATTTTATAGAGAAACCAAATTGCAGATAAAAAGGCTGCCACAGCAGGCATCTGCGTTTGCAAAGCCCTGCTTTCCCAGCTCTAGCAACCTGCAGTTTAATCTCTGCTGGTAGTAAAAACACTGGCACTTTGGATGTGTAAGTATTGAAATTAGTGAAGCTGTCCTGTGGCTGGAACAAGCCTTCCTAGAGTGAAAAATAGTTCCAACACGTAATGTCATCCCTCTGTGTCCTGACAGTAGCTGGTACGAGTGTAAAGGCTGCAGCTATTTTATAGCTTCTCAGCTTGCCCCAAAATATGTCTGAAGTTAATCCAAGATGATATAAACATATAGGGAGATATATATGTATATAGCTATTATCAGGGAGAGACAGCTGCGTAACATCGTTCTGAACAATAAAGACAGCTCTCAGTATATTTATTAAGAGAACAGTCCTGCCAGATGGACTCTGCAGGAAGGACGTACATCACAAATGCCATATTAGAAGAATTATTATACACAAACAGCTGCTAAAGCTCAACCAGGGCTATTGGAATAAAAAGATAGAAGAAACCTGACTGTGAGCCAAAGGGAGAATTTGGCTTCTAGCAGCTTTAAAAATCAGTTACATTCTGAATCTGCAAAGAGGGGAGTTGTTAAAAGTCCAAGCAGAAGCTCGGTGGCTCAGCAAAAATTGTCCTTGAACAAGTAGCTGGAGGCGTGTGGAAATGAAATTTTTAGGCAGAAACCAGATTACAGATGAAGCTTGACTTTGTGAGGACAGAAAACTGAGAAAATAGGAAAATTAAATTGCAAGCAATGATAGTTATCTGATATTACTTAGCTTAGAAGAAGAGGATGAGGCTTTGAAAAATTGAAAATTAACAAGGAAACATGAGCTAGAACTAAACCACAAGTGGGAAAATGAATCTAAGCCTGTTATTTGTTGCTTTAAATTAAATTTGGGAGATAGTTTCCTGTCATAGGCATAAAAATGCCCATGATCTGGCCTGGATCAAGCTTCAGATGAGGTAGGGGATAACTAAAGAAAATATTTGTCTTTTCTCTTGATACTGAATTTATATTGTTTAGGTTCTTTAGTCCACTTGAGTTGATGATAAATGTTTATAAGTGAAGTTCACCAAATTAGAAACGTGCAGCAGAATTCCAAGTAAAGTGGGGGTTTCTGTTTATGTTTCCTCCTTATTGGGAACTTGAGGACTGATGACAGCCATACATTCCAGTTAAGACATGAGTTGTGCAACAGCTCTGTGGGAGTCTTGATTGTGAGACGTGGCTATTTCCCTGCAATGGAATCATAAACAAAAGCTCTGATGCCCTTTTGGTGTTCTGTGGAAAACACGAAGTAACATAAAAATTACGATAAGCAAACCTTACTTCTTGTGGAACTGCAGGATCATGTTTTTGCACACATTTTTTTGTTTCCAAACTGTCAGCTCCCAGAAAGGAGAAGTCCCAGTAAGTTCAGAGACATACGTGTCTTTGAAAAGGTCATCTGTAACTCGTGAGTGTTTTGACCTTTACAAATATCTCACAGTGGCAATATAGATCCTGATTAAAACCCAACAGGGATAGTAACAAGGGGCTGATATTTATTGGTTTAGGCACAGTCAATGTGGGAAAATGAGGCCATCAGTAAGGCGCATACCTCTGCCTGTGTCCACTGTCATTTCAAGTCTAAGAGACTCTTCTCAGAGCAGGTCAGCGAGAGGATGAGAGGCAACCATCACAGACTGCAGCAAGGGAGAGTCCAGTTGAATATAAGGGGAAAAACAGTAATCACAATGTGAATAAGCAAGCACTGGAAAGGTTGTGTAATCTTTTTCCTCGAAGACATCAAAACCCCCACTGGATGAGGCGCTGAGCAACCCGTTCTGTCTTTGAGGTTACCTTAGCTGGGATCCAACGGGCTACATGGCGCTCCAGTAGAAATCCCTCCCAAACCAAGTTATTCTGTGATGAGGGGCACCTATTTCTGAAGCAATATAAACAGAGCAGCCTTAGACACATCCTGTGTTCGCTGGCAGATGCCGGAGGGGCTGCACAAAGAGCCTGCAGCGAGAGGGAGGAAGCACCAGACGCTGGGCTGGGCGCCAGGCACGTGGGCTCCCGGGCAGGCGGCAGCCGGACGGAAAGCTCTCTGGCAGGAGTCACATCTCTGGAAGCGGCAATCTCCAAACCCTGTTGGGTGGGAAGCCCGTGGTGTGAGCTAGAGAAACACAGGAGGTTTCTTAGCTGCTGCTCTGATGGCAGGAGGACCCAGCGCCCAGCCTTAGCTCTTGCATCTGACGCACTGGAATGTGGACTTCAACTGCTGCATTTTCCTAAGAAGGTAACCTGCTCCCAGGATCCTTTAGATAAACCAGAAAAAGCTGTAAATCTCATGTCAACTTCCACTTTTCAACTCTGCTCAGTCAGCAGGGAAAAAAAAAGCTATGTGGGTTTTTGTGTTTTAAATGTTGTCTAAATAGGGGTGTCTAAACCGTGTTCCTAACGTGCTTGCGATGCTCCTTCAGTTTTCAAGAACTGATTTCTGAATGATGATCTGTGCCTTTTCTTACCTAAACGGTTCCAAAGGCAAAGGAGTCTTACTGTCAAAGTATAAAGACTATTTTGCATGAAACTTAGAAGGTACTTTTATATATATATATAGTACTTTTATATATAGCAAATCTATAGGAAATTCTTGTAGCTACCAAGATTAGCATTGCTGTACAAACACACGGAATGGAGATTCGGTACCATATAGATAAATAAAATTTCTGTTAGCAGTCAAACTGCTTGAAGAACATGTATGCACAATTCATGCTTAAAAATCTTCCTGAAAATCTCTATGGACTTAATATTGATGGAAAAATAGTAAATATTTGGACCAAAATTTACATTGTGTAGCAGTTATTATAGCATCAGAACAGCGTTATAGTGTGAACAAGGCTTGCTACTTTCTCATTACGCATTCTGAACTGACAAATTACGTGGCTTTCTGGAATAGTGGTTTTACTGTACTATGCCACAGAGTACATAATAAGCTTGTTCATTTTGGAGTCATTTTGCCAGGATCTGGCAGAATTGTAGACATGCAGGTTGCAGATCTGATCTGTATTTTGGTTTAAGGAATTTGAAACCAAAGAATGCCTGCATAAACTGATTTGCCTTTGTGATGCCACTTTGCCAGAATTCTCATGTTGGGGCAATTTTTTGACCTTTTTTAACATGGAGCATGCTGAGCTGCCACAAGCAAGTTTAACATTTTCTAGATTAGAGATACAAGGATTTTTTTTTTTCACTGTGTTAATGAAGTCTGCATTTGTGGTAAAAAAGGTAAGTCCATACTTGTGCTTTGACATCTGAAGGAAATCTCTACGGTTGCTACAAAGCACAATAGACACAACTTGTGATTCCTTTCCATCCTTTCCAGTTGTGTAAAAGTGCTGTTTCACTAAAGTTTTTGGGTCTCAGAACTTAGGTATATTTTTTATGCATGTTTATGGAAGAAAAACTTCTTCTCTAAGCCTGCACTCCCATCTGAGGAAGGATTTAGAAGATGATTGCGTAATTGATGTTCCTCAAAATCCTTTATTTGCATGCGATGACGAAGAAAACAGGAAAACAAAGTGTTCTTTTTGAGACTGGAAATGTGCGGGCAGCACCGAAAATAAAAAAAAAAAAAAACAAACAAAAAAAGAGCACATGGCGTGTATGAAAATGCTGTCTTTTTACCAGCTGTGAGGGAGAGGAGAGGCAGGTAAACTCCACGAAGGCACAAGTACTCAAATAGGCTTCCTTGTGCTGAAGCAAAGTTCATTACCTCCTGTGAGAGCAGTATTTCCACAGGCTGCTCCATTATGGCTAAAATCAATGCTTAATGCTCAGAAATGCTCATCCTTGTGGCCTTTGTCTGTCTCTCTCACTAGTTCCTAGCACTGTTTTTTGAAAACTTGTTTTTTGAAACCTGGAAACATCCAGATGTTTCCAGACTCTTAGAAACCTTGTGAAGCTGGGCAAAACCCTGCCAAAAAAGAATGAGTCTGTCAGGAGCAGGGGCTGGGGGGGGGAGGGGACAGCTTGCACTGACCCTGGCATGGAGAAGAGCAGGTGTTGAAGGGGGGACAGGAGTGTGGGGCAGGGGGCCCAAACGGGGGTCCTGGTGTGTCCCAGGAAGGCAGTGTCACCAGGCACGAGCCGGAGGGGACTGCACATCAGCAAAGGAGCCAGCAGAGTCCCAGAGCTCTGGAGCTCCATCATCCTTGAGGTCCCTTCCAACTCTCCCCATTCGATGACCCTATGAGCTCAGCACTCTTAAGCTGGGCACAGTTTTGCCCGGTAACAGGTGGTCTGCCACAGCACTACAGAAGCAGTTGTCAGGCTGTTCTGATTTGTTCTGCCTTTAGGAAATAGTGCCATAAAGCGCATCCGTCTTGCAATTAAAAGAATGTCAGTAATCTAGGATTTCTGAGAAAATAGTCTTTATCATTAGTAGTAAGACAAAAATAGGCATAGAATTAGCAGAGTTCCTGTTTACTGCAAAATTACTGGATTCAGCAATTTGCATTTCTCAGAAGGTCTTAAAAACTGTGGACAGGAAAAAGCAACAGTGAAGTAAAGGATAATTTGCATTTCTCAGAAGGTCTTAAAAACTCTGGACAGGAAAAAGCAACAGTGAAGAGAGAACCAAATTGGAAAGAAATTCAGTAGCTGTCCTTTTCGCAAGGGAAGTTGTGAGAAATATTTCTGGAGTTAAGATGTCATTTTTATCTGTAATAGTAAAATCTGCTTTGGAATTGTTTTAAAGGAGAACGCAATGTATCTCCTGTACTGCACTTGCAAAGAAGTCTTGCCAACAGAGGTTATATTGCATTTGAAAAACTTGCAGCCTGGTGGGTTGGATGTGTAACGCCCAAGGACAGCACACAGCCTCTTCACCACTTAAAACTGAGTGACTGTCTCTATGTGGAAGCACTGTAATTTCCCCTAGGGGGTTCCTCTTTTCCAGGAGGTTTGGAACACGCTCTTCTGCTTGTTCCTTTCTCTGCCCTAGAGGTCCTGAAATGCCTTCCAGCCATTACTGTATTCATTCCCTTTTATGCCTGTTTTAAGCAATAAGTTTAACAGCAATATTTTTTCCTCATTCCTTGGTGGCACTTCATTGCACCTTTGCCCAGGCAGGGAAGGAATTGCAGGTTGGAAATGATAAATTGTAATACCTGTACTGGGAAAGGCAGTTTCTAAGCAGGGGAACAGATAAACCTGACATGACTCACAGCCGATGTTGGCGGAAGGAATTTCAAGCAAAAATTGAGAAAGATTTGAAAGACACTCTTGATAACAAGGTGAATTTCAAAGGGATCGATATCTTTTCTTAAAAACACACTTCATAGTAGGATGTGTGTGCTCTGCTCCCAGAAGTATGATTAATATTTATGTATTATTCATTATGTTTAATTATTATTTAAAGAATAGGGAGAATTCATGCTTTTGCCAGCAATCAGCAAGAAAGTTTTTACCTAGGGTCCTGGTCATCTTGTGTTTTCTGTGCTGCTGCAACTAAGCTGAGGTATTTAATTCAGAGCTACACAAGAATTATCTCCATGAGCTCTCAGCATAACTGGATTGGGGGCGGGGGGCGGACCTTAGTTTTTCAGGATATGTTACTATCTTGGTCTGTGAGCTCTATTTTATTGCACTTTATATATTTGATTTGGCACAGTAATTCCACAAATTTAAGTCTTAGCGTAATGGCTGTCATGCAGTGTTTTAATGAAGAGTGAGATGGAAAATAAGGACTTCAAATGGGATGAAAGGAATGCCATTCCAAGCTGAGATTTGCTGCACTTAAATAGCAGCTGTTTACTGGACGTTCTGCACCGAGTCTGGCCTGCCTGCTGGAAAGGAGAAGAGGGCCCAGGCAGCTGGCCCGTACTTCCCAAGATGGTAAATGACAGCAGCAGGCAGAAAAACTTGCCTTTTTTTTTTTACTGTGAAACTTTCCATTAAAATGCATCTATTTTAAAAGAGCAGACCTCCCTTGCTGCATCCTTATATGGCAGATACGGCCGTCCTGCCTCGTTAGGGCTCTGTGCTCCCTGATGTGGGCGCGCTCAGTGTGGTGTAGCCTTCTCAGCGTTCATGGTTTATTGATAGTAACTTCCTAGCTCTTCCTGAAGGGCTTGGAGAGTGTAAACCAGTGGCAGAAGCTAACTGGTGCAGAGGAGTAAGGTTTTATTTGTGCAGTGTGCATCTGGGGGGACTGATGCTGTGCCTGTTGCAGCGCCCCGGGGACGGTCACTCTTTATTCCGGGCTGTGGGCTGGTGGCTCTTCTAAGCCTGATGCCCCAAAATTGCTGTGCTTATCCCATGTGCAGAGGAATGAAAAGCAGTTACGCTCTCAATAAGACACACAAAGGTAGATACGGAAGGCGACGTTTTGGCTCTGCAGTGTAATGTGGAATCACAGAATCACAGAACATTCATGGTTGGAAGGGACCTCTAAGGTCATTGAGTCCAACCGTACACACACGAAAAAACCAAAACAAGCCAACACCAAAACCACCCCACACTCACCCACAAACAGACCCAATCCAACAACCTCGGGCACTAGAGCAGGCCCTGAAGTGCCACATCTACATGTTTCTTAAATACCTCCAGGGATGGTGACTCCACCACCTCCCTGGGCAGGCTGTTCCAGTGCCTGACCACTCTCTCAGGAAAGTCATTCTTCCCAATATCTCATCTAAACCTCCCCTGCCCCAACTTCAGACCAGTCCCTCTGGTCCTGTCATTATTCCCTTGGGAGAAGAGGCCAACCCCCACCTCTCTACACCCTCCTTTCAGGGAGTTGGAGAGGGCAATGAGGTCTCCCCTCAGCCTCCTCTTCTCCAAACTAAACATGCCCAGTTCCCTCAGCCTCTCCTCGTGTGACTTGTTCTCCAGACCCCTCACCAGCTTGGTGGCTCTCCTCTAGACACGCTCCAGCACCTCAATGTCCTTCCTGTAGTGAGGGGCCCAGAACTGGACACAGCCCTTGAGGTGAGGCCTCACCAGTGCCCAGGACAGAGGCACCATCACTGCCCTGCTCAGGGAAGAAGGGATAGAGCTGCATTTTCCCCTCCCCACTGTGTCCAAATGCTGCCGGCTTGGGACATTTCGTGGAGCTGAAAGTCAGAAGACAGTTTTCTGTCTGTGCTGGTTGTCCCTCGCAGAGTTACACACATCTCCTTGGGACAGACCCAGCTGCAGTGCCCACCTCAGGAGAGCAGAGAGGAATTTCAGTTCTGGGGGCAGAGTCAGGAGACTTGTCCCCTGGGCTTGTCCCTCGAGGACTGAGGATGCCCTTTGCTTTATGTGCCCCAGGAGAGAGGTGCTTGGCAAGAGGAGAGCAGGGTGTTGGGTCTGGTTAAGTCTATATCCTCACTGCAGAGCACCTTCCATTTTTTCTGCAGGAGGTTAATTAAAATAAATCAACTGTAAGCAAACTGCTGCAGTTTTAAGTGCATATAAAATTACAGTAGGATTCTGTTTATCTTTTCTTTTTGGAACGTTCCCTCTTGCATAAATGGATTTTATTGAAAACAAGTGAAAGAAGGAAATCAAGCAGCAGGTCACAGTAACACAACAGGGCTCATATTTTGAATGTGGATTTTGCTGTTCCTAGATACAATTTGTAAGCCCATGCCTCTGTGACCTGCCTCATTTTTTCCCAAATACATCACCTATAAATATTCAATTTCTTTGAGTAAAAGTAATAACAGACATTAACTTGTTCCACATCGACACATCACAGTTGTTTGCAATGACAATTCTAATAGTTTTCTGCTAAAGGCAGTATTACAAAAAAAATGATAGAAAATGACCCTCCCAATAAGTTTTTCCCTGTATGCAAATATAAAGCTGTGGCAATGAATAAAAGCAGAAACATCCTCCATCCCTGGAGGTGTTCAAAAGCCAGGTTGATGTAGTGCTGGGAGGTCTGGTTTAGTGATGATGCTCCTTGTTTACTCTGCGGGTGTCTATTTTTGTCAGTTAGGTTGACGGTTGGACAAGATGATCTTTAAGGTCCCTTCCAACCTAGAGGATTCTGTGATTCTGTGATTCTGTAAAAATCTCCCTTCCAGTCAGTCAGTGTGGGAAGAATGCAGAAGGTTCCCTTGGTTATTGCCCAGACATGAGAGAGTCAGGGCTTCTTCCGTCAGCCACGGTATGAATCCTGGAGAAATTAAAATATTGCCAGGGAGTCACCTGTGCTCTGATGGACAGTCTGAGAGTGTCACCCCGGTCTTGGAAGGTCAGGTCCCTATTCTGGGCACGGGGGAAGTGGCTGGGCCTGCAGGAAACCGTTTCTTTGAGAAAACCCAGATCCGTCGACTTAGGATGTCAATTGATTCCCACATTGTCTTAAGGGCCCAGCCAAAAACTCTTCGAGTTTTGTACATATGAGAAGAAACTTGGGGTCAATCACTTCTGTTATGTTCGTTAATGAATGAGAATACAGACCGTTAAGCATCCTTGAAGGACGAATCTATTTCTAGAGTGCTTTCCTCTATGTAGCATTCAACCTCTGTATTTCACAAATGCTATTCCTTACATTATGATTTCTTGTAGGAAACATTAAGGGATGCGGGTTATTCATTTTCTTGAGTTAGTGCCACAGCTCCCCTGGTTTCGTATTTATACTGGATCTGTGTTTGTGTCTGCGTGCTGCTGTGTTTATTCAGGTGGCCTGGAGCTGCTTTCTGGGACCACTTCAGGGCTGATTATAAACCAGCTCCTCCCTCCGCGCTCCCTTCTGTCTAGGCTTGCTTGCTCCCACTGTTCAAAAGTACTTCCAGCCAGATGGTCCTACAATTTAATGCATTCCCAAATCCTGTGAATCAGAAAAGGCCTGAGCCAGTTTGTCAAAAGACAAACCTTTGGAATTTTTGACAGCGGATTTTTTAGAGTAGCAGTTTGCATCTTTCTAAACGCAAGTTGTCAGGTCATTTCTTAATATTTCTTTTTTACCTTTTATGTCATTTTGATTTAGTTGGAAAATACCTGCAAAATGGCTTAATTTTTTTTTTTAAAAAACACCTTAATTGAACAGTTTAATTAAACTTATAGTGGCTTATTAAAGACAATTCCATTAACAAACATATTTACATTTCATCAGACATAGGCAGGGCAATAAGCGAGTTAACTTTTCCTTTGATTTACACTCTGCATGTTGCAGGTGACAGAAAAATGGTTTAATATAAACCAACTGGAAAGATAAGAATGTTAATAATATGATTTCCACTGTGCTGCTTTTCAATATCCTGGTCCACTCTTATTTGGCTTTGATTTTTTTATAATCAAAATGTTCTAGTAAGGCGAAGAAAAAAATGTGTTTAAAACAGGATGCCTTCAATAGGTAATCTGCTCAGAGTGACTTGAATTTTCTTCCAACGCCACTGTCACCTGTGGATCTCCTTTGAGATACCTATGACTTTATTGATGCATATGTAGCTTTATATCAGGAAACTATTTCCTGGTTTATGTCCATCTCCTGCTGCTTTAGAAAATTCGCTTAAAGACAAGAGGAGCAAAGCCTGCAGGCAAAGTGAATTGCCTTGTAATTATATCATATCTTGGATATTTGTTATTTGTTTTTACCTCTGCAGATAAGGAATAAATAAAATAAAAACAACTTCCTTTATTAGTAAAACCAAACTTTGCCAGAACAAAATTTATAAATGTAAACTTCACTGACTCACAATGGAAAACAAATGAAAAGTCAACATTCTTTTCCTTTCTTTTTTTTAATGTATTTTGGAAAAAATTGAGCATTGGCTCAGCAATATTAGAATTCTAGCCAAATTTCTTTGATTTGAAAGAATGCACAGGGCACGTGCATCTAATTAGGATGTCATTCCAATCAATGAAGGAGGTGACTGCTCCCCAGCTTTACAGGTAATGCTCCCAGTAACTCTGAAACCAGGGGTGGTGACGGAAAAACCAACCAACCTTTTCCCTGGCAAAGGTGTTTTCACCTCCTGGCACATCTTATAGTTACTTTACAGAGAACAGGAGGTATTTCTAACCTGTTTGTAAAAACGCTTTTTGACTGACACCTGAAAAGCTGTTGTGGAAGTGTTTAAGTACTGTATTTTAAAAAAGAGCAGAGGGTACTTGAATTACTCCCGAAGTTGGTGTCATAGCCCTTTCCTCGTGGAAATAAAGTGAGGCTTTCAAGTTTGGCATATATTGTCCTTGCTAAGGTATGGTAAACTGTTCGATTTTAATAGCTTTCCTCTGAAAAATACGCTGCCGTGCTGTGTGTTTTACCAATACAGTTTACTTAGAAGCGACTGAGTTTTGGAATGTCTCAAAAACAGTTTCAGTGTTCATTTTAATGTGAGGCTTCCCAAATAATGAGAATAAACCAGTTAAGGTAATGAGAAAACTGTCTTGTTAATGTTGTTTTGGGAGCTGCTTTCTGGGAGGTGAGAGCCCGGGGTCCGCCAGGCTCTCCCGGGGGAGCTGGTGGCAGCAGCAGGGCTTAGGGACTGCCTGGCTGTGCAAAACCATAATTGCCAGAGATATTAAAATGCTTGGGAGAAGGCAGCTGGTTTATGGCTTCCACCACTACTTTCCCTTTTGTTTATGATTCTCTTTCCTTCTCTCTCTGTTCCTTTCCTCCTGCAGAATTCACCCCAGCCTTAGGGGACGGAGAAGCATTTGGCTCTGCCTATACTGTTAAGCCTACAACTTCCTCAGGCTGGAAATTTTGCTGTTTCGTTGTCATCAGCAAATAATTGTGGTATCTCTTTGCTGTAACGATCTGGAAAATGGAAATGAAGAGAGACACAACCAAGTTGCTGCTGTGGCTGCTGATGTTCTTTGATGCTGTGGCCTTCAGCTATGAGGAATCAATGGAAGAGAGAGCTAAGGAGTTGATGAAATATACACGTTTAATCGATGGGTATATAAAATATGTTCAACTAAAGTCTATTTGTGAACCTTGACAAGTGAGGAGAAAATGCTGAAGCATGTTTAGATGAGTAGAGACATAGGCTGTTACTAGCACACAGCAGTTAGTTACTGTTGCAGTGATTTATCAGGAAGGAGTTATGGTTCAGAAGGTGATTACTTATAGGATCAGGTTATTCTAAATGCATTTGTGATTTTCTTGTCAGGTTTTGCAACTTAATTATTGTTTCCATTTTTATAATACCCTTGTCTCCTTCCTGTGACTTAATGGCATCTTTCATTAGTGATGCCTTCTGTGCAGAGGTAGGAAGCAGGCATCACACCTTGAAAGGACACCCTTACAATTTGAAGGAATGATGTCTGTGGCGAGTGTATTTTGACCTGGGAACACAAACACCGCTTATTCTAGCACAGGCAGCACTGATTGTTCTACCACAAGTACTTGTTTCTAAGGAGTGTGGTGGTGACCAATTTCAGTTCCTCCATTCCTTCAGAAACAACAGGGAGAACAATAGATACAGAAACACAACAGCTATAAAAATGGGAGAAGCAAAAAAAAAGTGCTTGCTGTCCTAATTAAGAAATAAAGCTTGTTTGGAAAAGAAGGGAGACTTTCAAACATATGTTACTACAAGGATTATTGGCAATTAATGGTCTAAGGGACTATGAACAGTGGAATAAAATACATTTGGGTTAGAAGGGGAACAACCTGTTTCTATCACCAACCCTATTTGTTTTCAATTGTAGCCACAATGACCTTGCACTGCGGCTGAGAATATTTTACCGAAATAGAATCAGTGGAGTCAACTTAAAAGAACTCAACAAGACACACACAAACCTTGCAAAACTTCAGGCTGGTTATGTGGGAGCTCAGGTACGTACTGGCATGGTTGTGGGTCTGAGAGCGTGGTTTTACATTTGCCTCCTTCCTTCCCAGTCACAAAAATACTCCTGGCCTTGGTTTTGGCTCTTTCTGTTGAAACAGAAAAAAACAATGAAACTGAAAAGCTACAGACACTTTTCTGTAACATTTGTGTTCTATAATACTTGTACCCTCAGTCAAAAGAGCTGCATTTGTTTTGTGATAAATAAATTAAAGTAAACTCATACCCGCTTTCCTGTGTGTGCTGTGGAGTAGCTGGGTGTGTCAGGAGGCTTTAATCCTGTCTGGAGTGGATGCTTTTGCTTTGCATCGTAACTCTTCCTTTGGGGGGAAAAAACTATAGAGGCAACTCCCTTGTAAACTGTAGGAAATTATTTTGGTCTGTGTTCATGAGCTTCACGATTAGCAAATGTACGTTTCCAAGTTGAAACACAAGTTATCTAGTTTACTTGTCAATGTCTTCAATGTCTCTTTCAGTTTTGGTCAGTGTATGTTCTTTGCAGCGCTCAGAACAAGGATGCTGTGCGTCTGACCTTAGAGCAAATTGATGTTGTCAAGAGGATGTGTGACAGCTATGAAGAGCTTACATTTGTGACAACTTCCCAAGGTGATGCTCTCTCTTGTAACAGAATTTTTTTAAATGGGATTGCAGGAGACACGTGCAAAAGACAGAGAGCTGCAAGCAGGCAAGGCATCCTGGAATAAAGAGTAACTTTGACTTCAGTTTTCCCACTGAAACACAGTAACTGACTCTGCACACTCCTGACCCCCTGCAGGCATGAGAAAATTTGCCATTTAAGCATGCTCTAGCCTAAGCTCCTGTTCTACAAAAATGTCAGCATTATTGCTCGCAGTTTGCAATAACAATTGTTGCACAGTAGTGCTGGCTGCTTAGCTGTCACGAAACCACTTCAGAACTGTCTTCCTTTGTTGTTTCCAGGTATCTCTGACAGCAGAAGGATTGCGTGTTTGATTGGAATAGAAGGTGGTCACTCCATTGACAGCAGTTTGGCAACACTGAGGATGTATTACGACCTGGGTGTTCGTTACATGACTTTAACACATACCTGCAACACCCCTTGGTAAGTAATGTGCCTGTGTCTGCGTGACCATCTAATGCAAAGCCATGGCCACTCCAGGGTGGGGAAAGTATGGATTCAGGCACAGAGTTCACCCATGAAGGACTCTGAACCCAGGGTGGCACGTTTCTGGGGTAAATTGCTTGCTGTGCCTCAAGTGGGAGACCAAAGGATCTGTTATGTAGTGCTTATTATGCTGACAATTTAGGAAGTTTTTAAACCTTGTTAGCAGATGACAAAACCTTGTTTAAACCACGTTAACAGATGCAATTTTGTCAAAGATTACAAAATTGCTACCCTTTTGCTTTATTATGAAAGTTACATAGGGCAAAACAGGCAAAAAACCCCAACCCACCCTACAAAAAATGTATGTGATGTAGCTAAAAGAGGGTAAATGCTGTGTAAGAACTTGGCAGTCAGCAGCCTCCAGCCCTGTCCTCCCTGGACAGCTTAAAAGTGCAGGTTTCACATGCAGCTACAGACATGGGTTCTTAGTTCCTGTATTGGAATATTAGCACCTGTGCTTTGCTGGATTGACAAAATTCCTTCTTGTACTGACTCAGGGGAAGGGGAATTGTGTGCAGAGAGGAATGAAAAGCAGGCTTTCTGCCTGACAGGGAACCGACATTTCGGCACATCTTTGTTCTCTGAGGAAGGTTTCTTTAATTTCTGACAAGCATCTCTGCTTGTCTTGCACTGCTTCACAAGCACACAGCAGCCCTGAACCTGAAGGCATAACGTCCAGAAAACAGTTATGAACCTAAAAAGCACTGTGTGAACTAGATATGGATTATGTGGCTCATTATCCCTACATTTGACTGTGGGACATGGTAATGATTTGTGTTGTGTGCAGCATAAGAAGTTTCAGTTGCTGCTACTGTAGTCTCCAGAATAATATGATGTTTCTCCTCCCTCACTCCCCTTTTTAAGGTCTGAATCATCATCCAAAGGAGTGCACAACTTTTATCCCAATGTTACTGGTCTGACTGCATTTGGTCAAGTAAGGATCTCTTTTGAATTATAATTTAAGCAAACCCTCATGCAACTAATAACTTCTGGCCTTATATTTTCAAAAGCAACTTGCCATTAAAATTTAACTACTGGAAGTTCTGGATAGTTGTTAGGAAGTAATCAGGGCTCCATTAAGCCAAGTTCCCTGTGATGTTCCCTAGAGTAAAAGAAGTGATGGATTTAATTATAACAATTGTTTTAATATAGATCAGGAGTATGAATTAGTATATGGAAGTAGTGGGATGTGAATAACAGTTCAAGTTACTTATTTCAGATTGCTTTATAAATTTTGAGCATGTAGTGGCTGGCTAGTTAATTGTGAATTAATAAATTACTATTAAATTAATAGGTAAATAGAAACCCATACAGGCACAGCATGTTAATGACTAGCTGACAGCTGCAGAACTTATTTATCTGTTTCCATATATCAGCTAAACAGTTTCCTTTAGGGAAATTTAATACTGACACTGTTGTCTGTAAATCTGTTTTAGGAAGTGGTGAAGGAGATGAATCGCCTGGGTATGCTGATAGATTTATCTCATACTTCATATTCCACAGCAAAAGCTGCACTGAATATCTCAAAAGCACCAGTAATTTTCAGCCATTCCTCGGCATTTTCTGTTTGCAATCACTCAAGAAATGTTCCTGATGATATCCTCCAGCAACTGGTGAGGATTTTTGGTCTGAGCTTTTCTACCTTTCTTTGAGGTTTTGTTTGGTTGGTTTTGCTGGGTTTGTTCTTGTTGTTTTTTAATGGCAATGCCTGGCTAATCTGAGGCAAACCTGTGCATTCTAGCCATGGTATTTACTTTTCACGCTCTCATCTTTGAATTGGATTTAGAAGCAGGTTCCTGAGCAGCAAGTTACACATTAGCTTCTGAGACGTTTTCTTTTGGGTTGTGTTTTGCCTTTGGCTGAAAAAATGAAGTGTTTGCAAATAGTTTGAAATTGTGGTTGAGTTTGTTTGATGTAGTCACTGGACTTCTGCTGATTCAGGCTACATAAGAATATAATGAATCCAGGGTAAAGCACAGAGAGGCAAAGCCTTGTGTTGCCATCTGAGCTTTGACTTACGGGGTGTTCTTATGCTCACTGATGGATGGAGGGATGCAGAAGGATCTATATGAGGTTTGCAGGACACACAAGTGTCAACTCATCACCTGTCTCTTCATATCTTTCAGAAAAAGAACAAGGGAATTATCATGGTGACTTTCAGTGCAAATGTACTGGCCTGTGGCAGGAAAGTTGTTAATGTTTCTACCCTTGCAGGTTTGAAGTTAATATACTGCAGTTTTTGTGGGTGGCTTCTATGAATTCCTGGTGTATGCATCATTTTTGAGATCATGTTAATTATACTGCTTGTTTATTCCCTTCCACACCTTACCCCAGCTCTAGGTATTTTTGGAGCTAACATTCATTGAACAATAGTCAGAGGTACAAGATGTGTAGCTGGAGGATATGATGCTCCCAAATGGAGCCAAGAGCCATTAATCCCAAGGTAGTTTTTACTGTCTGAAAAACATCTTAAACCTCTGTAATTAAGACTGAAAAAGACAGGTATGTAATGGTGTGTGAGCCAACACAGGCAGGACACAGGAACAACCACAAAACCATGGATTAAGGGCAAAGAACAATTTAATGTCGATACCTCCTGGATGGGGGAACCTCTGAAGCAGCCCCCAGGCAGAGGCAGGCGAACAGGGGACGCAGTGACCGTGGAGTCCTTATTAGCAAGACAGTCCTTGTTAGCGAGGGAGGGAGGGAGCGAGGGAGCTCACACTTGCTGCTTGGGCCTGTATTTCAAGGATTCTGGCTGGCAGAGCTTTCCACTGGGCTTTGATCTCTTCAGCAGCAGGGCAGGAATCCCAGGCGTGTTTGATAAGGTGCCCCTGAGTCCATCCCAGGCCTGTGTTATCTGAGTGCAGATGTTCTACTTGTTGAGCACACAAAACTAAGCAACAATTAGTGTGATGGCTGTGTTTTCCAGCACCTCACATGTAGTCACGTGAGCGTATTTACAGTCCTCCTCCCCAATCTTCCCTTACTTTCCCACAAATGGCTAATGAAAATATCTGTTGGTATGTGTGGGCTGCTCGTGGAAATTAATGTGCTGTGATGATCATGTGCACCCACAGCCCAGAAAGCTACCTGCCTCCCGGGCTGCATCAAAAGCAGCATGGCCAGCAGGGCGAGGGAGGTGATTCTGCCCCCTCTGCTCCACTCTGTAAGAACCCACCTGGAGCAGTGTCCATCCCTGGGGTCCTCAGCACAGGAAAGACATGGACCTTTTGGAGCAGGTCCAGATGAGGGCCACAAAAATGCTCAGAGGGATGAAACACCTCTCCTATGAGGACAGGCTGAGAGAGTTGGGGCTGTTCAGCCTGGAGAAGTAAAGGCTCCAGGAGGCCTTATTGTGGCCTTTCAGTACTTAAAGAAGGCTTATAAGAAAGATGGGGACAAACCTTTTAGCAGGGCCTGTTGCGATAGGACAAGGGGTAATGGCTTTAAACTAAAACAGGGAAGATTTAGACCAGATATAAGGAAGACATTCTTACAATAAGGGTGGTGAAACACTGGCCCAGGTTGCCCAGAGATAGGCAGTTGCCTGGTAGATGCCCCATCCTTGGAAATATTCCAAGTCAGGTTGGACGGGGCTCTGAGCAACCTGATCTAGTTGAAGATGTCCCTGTTTATCACAAGGAGATTGGACAAGATGGTCTTTAAATGTCTCTTCCAACCCAAACTATTCTATGATCGTGTCTTTTTCCTCATTTGCATCTCATCAGTGTAGCTATTATTTTGAAGATTGCTGCCTGATGTACTTAATAATAGATAACATCTAGTTAAGCAGCAGTTAATATCCAGAATACATCCACTGCATTATTAAATTTTAACTTGTATTGTCAGGATGTCTTTTTCACTTTTTTTAAAAGGATTTGATTAAGAATCCATGATTAAGGAGAACAGTCGCCTAGTGCCAATATGTCTGAACAGTATTGTTTCTTCTTGCCCTATACTTAGATATTGTTTTCTTTGCTATGTTCTTTCAGATCACTTTGACCACATAAAGAAAATTGCAGGTGCAGAATCCATAGGAATTGGTGGTGACTACGATGGAGTGGAACGGTTAGTAAACTCGTATATGCATTGACATCTGCTCCTTAAATCATGAGGGGTTTGATTCCTTCTGGGGAAAAAGGCAGGCAGTCTAAGAGAGTTGTAGCAAGTTGTCTTGTGATGAATACCAAAATAAGTTTTATGAAAGAGAGGCACAATGGTTCCTTCTTTAGAAGAGTATGAAGCAGTGCCAGGAATGCAGGAACAGACCCCGGTGCCCTGCGAGCGCTGCAGGTGTGTGCGCTGGCGGGGTTTGTGCCTACAAAAACAGTGGGTGGAGAGTGCTCAACACATCTGTGCTGTTACCACCACACCTCTGCAGAAAACAAAAATAAGAGAAAATATTAGTCATCTCAAAATAAAATCCAAGACTCAAGAAAACACAATGTAAAACACCTGTTTAATGCAGGTTTTGCAGCTTCTTTCTTCTAATTCCTTTTTATTCTGGTAAGAATTGGCACAAGACATAGGTCAGTTTTGCTTATTGTAAGTTCTTCAGTGGAGGGTTCTGAATAGCTTTCTTTTCACTGCCTAAACTGCTGAATTCAAAACAATGTTATTATTATAATTGCATTTTCTTTGGAAAGATAACTTTGTAAACAACAGAGTACATAAAATTGCCTGCAACTCCTTTGCTGAGGGTGCGTTTGCAGGTTCCCTTTTGTTCTCAGTTACACAGACAGATCGCACCAACTCTGTCTGGGATGCAGCTGTTTCCTCTCGCTCTAAAGGCTAGATATAAAGAGTGGATTCCTGCATGCATGAGTTTGGGCTTTTTTTTTCATTTTGTTTTGTTTTATTATCCTCCATGCTGTTGTCTTACCTGTACATAAGTGCATCTTCATTTCAGAATATACAGTTTCGTTCTGGTAATGGGATCTGCTGTGCAGAAAAGCCTTTCATTGTGTCCCTGTCCTGCTCCTGTTTATGTTAGTTGAATTCTTAATATTTGTTTTTAACTTCTCAGAGGAAGAACCGGGTCCAAAGTGAGGCCATTCCAAAAGTGAAGATGTGCAAAAGACTAATTAAAAATCTTTTTGTACATTTTTTCAGTGATGTGTGTTGAGTATTCTTGTGTGACTCTTGCCAACAGTTTCCCTGAGGGTTTGGAAGATGTTTCTAAATACCCTGCTTTGATTGTGGAGCTTCTTAGAAGAGGATGGAGTGAAACTGAACTGAAAGGGGTCTTAAGGGAGAACTTTCTCCGTGTCTTCAGAGAAGCGGAAAATGTAAGATTAAAAACTAAACTGAATCTTGATTCTTACTAAGAGGGAAAGAGGAATTGTTGGTGCCTTGCTGGTGGTTTGGGTTTGTTTTGTTGGGGTTTTTTTGGTTTTGTTTTTTTTCTTTTTTGCCCAATAAGAGTGCTCTGAGGGAATGTAAGCACTTAATGTAGTAATTCCAAATGCTGGGAAAGAAACCAAGATGGCAAGAGAATGTTAGCAGAATAAAAGAAAATGAGTGTGGACAGAGCTCTTTGGAGCTTTTTCTCTCTGTAGTAATCTGATAAGTACACATCACTGATTTCTAAATAGAATCACTTCATGGTTTGGAGAAACTGTGGACATACCAGTATCCCAGTCTGGCTGTGTTTGCTGGTGCAGTACGGAATGCTGACTCCTGCAAATCAATTTAATTCTTGTCATGGGATTGGACTGCTACCCAAAAAACTCCTGCCGTGACCATATCGCTACCAAGCCATAAATATAACAACTAGATCACAATGAGCTTTAAGTGTAAATGATAGAAGACAATCCGGAAGGCTGAGATAGGGGAGGAGGGAAGGAAAGAGACTGTATGAGAATAAAGCACCCCCTAAATGGTAACTTTTTCAAAAACCTCCCTTGAAACTTGCAGGCTGCTTGCTTCCTACTGTTTTCATTTACAAAGATAAGTAAGTAGATTTTATACACAAAGCTTTATAGACAACATGTATTTCACAGTGATGTTTTTTCCAGTTGCCTGGGTTATGTTAGATGAACTGAAATAAGAGAATTTTGTACTGTTCCAGTCAACCTGCCCAAACACCTGCCTAACGCTAGTCGCACATGGGGCACACTGACATTGTGAAAAGGTTGAAATTCATCACACCTAACCAACCCATCTGTGAGATTTAGTAATTTTTTTCCTTCTAAATTAGAGATGTTTGAAACTCTATCTTAAGACTGTGAGCTGGCTTCAGGGAAGAAAGCTCAGGAGTTTGTTTGCGTGGGGTTTTCCAGCTAATGCATCCATAAGTGGAGGGAGCCAGGACAAAGAACAGCCAGGCCTGTGACTGCCTGTAAGGTGTCTGCACTGAATTCTGGGGGGTGGTTCACAGGAATGCAAACATCAGGATGATGATGTTGATTTCCTCACATTTGGATGTGTTTTTGCAATACAGAAAGTTGGTTCACTTGAAATAGCTCTCAATTTGCTAACTTCAGCAAGCTTTTTGCTGTTGTGGCAGCCTGGCTTTCAGGGCCAATCTTTTGAACTTCTCTAGGCGCGGAGCACCAGCGGGCCAAAGGATGCAGGCGAAAGTGAAATCCCCCAAGAAGAAGTAAAAAATCCCTGTCGCCTAGACCTACAGAATCAACAGCTTCAGAGACCAAATCAAGAGTTTCAGATAGCCAGTTCCTTTGGACTTCCCTCTGTGGCAAAACCTTTTAGTCTGACAGTTGTAATTGTATCATATTTAATACTGTATTTTGAATCATAGAATCTATGGAGTCTAGAGTGAGACACACGTAGTAATTGGCAATGCAACTAGTGGTCTTTGGGTTGTTTTTTTTTTATAATGATGTAAAGCTATGCTGCTTTTTTTATATAATTTCTATAGATTCACCTGCATACTTGAAAGTTAGTGTAGATTTAAACTGTTATAGCAAAAGCATTTAGAATTTGAAGTGATAAATTCTGTGTCATCTTGGCTAAACCAAGATTTTTTATTATAAATCTGCTCTTTCAGCCGTTGGAACACGTTTTCAAATATACAAGGTATGTGAGGTTAGAAGCTACAGAAGAGCATATACTGTGCTAGGCCTATTGTTGGTAGGCTAATATGGCTCAAACCTGGAATTTCAATCAAATATCCAGAGATTGATGATGAAGTTGTAAGATGGCCGTACTACATCTTTGTAGGGTCATTTCCCAGTGCTTGCTGGTAAATGCCTTTTCATGATACTTGCTGTTAATTGTGATTTTTATCTCATGACATGCTTTTATTTACTGATAGGACATCTACAGAGTTTAGCCATAGTATAAAATAAAAGTCCTGTAATTGATTTAAGGACAGCAGATGGGCCACAGAGATGATGAAAGGACTGGGAAGCCATATGAGGAAAGGCTGAGAGAACTGGGTTTGTTCAGCCTTGAGAAAAGAAGGCTAGAGGGAGACCTTATCACCATGTTCCAATATTTAAAGGATGGCTACCAAGAAGATGGAGATTTCCTTTTTACAAGGAGTCATGGAAAAGATATGGGCTAATGGGTACAAGTTACTTTTGGGGAGGTTCCAATTGGAACTAAGATGAAAATTTTTCACAATGAGAACAATCAGAAATCAGAATGATCTCCCCAGGGAAGTGGTGGATTCCCAAACATTGGACACTTTTAAGATTCAGCTGTACAGGGAGCTGGGCCATCTTGTCTAGACTATGCTTTTGCCAAGAAAGGTTGGACCAGATGATCCTTGATGTGCCTTCCAACGTGGTATTCTATGATTCTATGCTTTGTAAACACATAAAGTATTTAACAATTGCAAGACAAGGCTGAGCACAAACAGAATGGAAACAGCAAGTCAGTTGTTCTTCTAGAGTTCGTGAGGCAGTTCCCACCATCCACCTCTGCATTCCATATACAGGTAGGGTTTCTGGAAGAAGACTGTTCTTTTAGTGCTTCAAAATGAAGTTTCTCTAATTCTCCTGACAAAGTGGTCTCCTTGGTAAGTATATTCTGAATATACTACTGCCAATTCCTGACTATTTTACAAATCATGTTGAATAATCTTGTTGCACACAAGCCAAGTTTGTAAGAACAGTTTCTTAGTAAATATTGATCCTGGTTGTGCATCTACAATGGGGAATTACTGCTCCGACTCAGATGTCTTGCCTTCCTGATACTGCTTGACTGGCATCAGAACTTATTTTCCTGGTAAAATGACAAATTCAATTGGGCAAATAATTTCTTCCCATGAAGCTGCGAACGGCTTCATAAGCCATTGAAAAACTGTCATCCATGGTCTCTTTTCACAGAATATATGTCTGATAATGACTTCATTACATATTTGAAATGTGAGATGCTTTCTTATTCCTTCCAGCCTTTTTCTTTCTATTGTGTTGTCACTTTCTTGCCTGCTAATTTCTACTGGTTTTTTCCATACTACAGCATGGATTAAAATATATATTTATTTTCTTAAAGATACAGAGAATACTTTTATATGACTGATTTTGCCATACTATAGATATTTGTAGTTTATTTCTTTGTTTTACCGATAGCGTATTGCACTTATTTGTTTGACTGCTTTGTGCAATGAATAATCTGTAACCTTGTGGCAGATCATATACATGAAATTTAAATAAAATATCGTTTAATTGTGTTCAGATACTGGTGTAATCTCCCAAAACAATGACAGTGTTACCTGCAGTAAATCACTTGGTCAAGCAAGTCAAGTCATAGAGAACCAGGCGTATGGGGAACCAGGCAGGTTGCCTGCGCCGCGGTTAGGATAATGTCTACTTCACAGCATTTCTCACAGATGTACCATGATCTAAAAGCCCCTTTTAGCATTACTAGCTACAATGTTACTTCAGGATGCTTCAAATAAGCTGCTTGTGTGAAAGCAACTTCAGAGTGCAAAATCATCGAGCAAGGAATGGAATCTGGTGCATCGTGCAGTGATTGTGCACATGGTTATCTAGCTGATCTAATAGATGCAGTTAGTATATTTTTCTTAAATGATCAAAACTGCACAGCTTGAAACATGGTAGAAAGGCATCTCATTAGAATTCCATTCCAAAAGTAAAATCATGTAAGACGATACGGCTGTGACTGCTGTCAGAAAAACTACAGTGACCCTTCAGTCTGAGCGCCGGTGTCTCCACTCCAACTGACAGCAGCTTGTGGCAGTAGCAGTCACAACACTGCATTTCCAACAGCTCAAGCATAACATGATTGCACTCTGGTTTCTGCTTCCCAATGGAGAGGATGATTCATCCTGAAATTGAATGCCTTTGCCCTGCACCAATTAATAAGACAAATTTGCATTGGTAATTTGAAATGCAAGGTAGCTCAACTGGCAGCGTCTATTTTGGCTGGTGGTGCCAGTGAAGTATCAGATACAATTGAGATACCAACTTTGCAATAAGCGTTGTGGCTGCCAAGTGGAAGAATGCAAGTCATTATTTACCTCTTCTAAACAACAAGTTGTGCTAACATGAATCCTGAAAATAGTTATTACTGATTCTGTACATCTCAAAATTGATGTACTATGAACTACTTTAGGCTGATTTTCTAAATAAGACCCAAACTTCAAGGCATCTTTAACAATCCAAGGCTCATGCTTTTACATGTGAGATATGAACAGCCCAAAACTGCAAACATAATATTGATGCAGACTATTGATTTGATTCTAAGGGGTTGATGCCAGCACCCTTCCTCCGGTACTGTCCTTTTCCAGACTAATGGGCTGTAGAATCGATAGAAATGAACAACTTCGGTTCTCAGTTGCCTCATCTGGGTAAGTGGTGATGGTAGAAACCAAGCCTAGAAGTCTATTGCTGGTCTGACAGATTCAGCTGAGCTGTCATGTAAAATCTGAGCAGTTCATTTCAGATATTTAACTTCTACTCAGTGGGTGACTTGTTTGGGCCACAGAAGGACTTTTGCTTGCTTTACATTGGATATGAGCTACCGAATTGTGCCCGGGCTTAACACCTGCATTCCTTCTTGCATATCATTGCACTGCTCAAGCACTATGCCCAGCATATTTCTGTGTTTCAAGGTCAGTAAACATCATGCATTAAGTCTAACCACCCATATAAATTCATTAACTTGTGTTTGATCCTAAAGGTAAGGTTCCAGTGGGCATCTGCACCACAGAACCTTTGAAAAGCCGGGTATCATTGCATCTCCATCACCTTCTGGAGTAAGGTGCAGTCCATGCCACCCCGCTCTGGCTGCCCTGTTCCTTGGCTGCTCGTTGTCTCCCCTGGCCCTTGGGCCAGCGCTGGTGTAACTGCAGGGTGAGCTGCTCGAGGGAGCTGATCTCGCTGAAAACAAACCACTTTCCTGCCTCGAGTGAGGGGTTTCCAGCTGCTGGCATCAGCGATTGGGTTAAGCATGTTCACCTTAGGGGAGAAAAAGCAGAGTGGGGCTGCAACCGCTTGGGTTTTTTTTCCGTCTGCTGTTGAAAGCAGCAGCTCCTCTCTTCACTCTTCTCTGGATTTACACGTAGGGAAATGAGCAAATTGCTTCCAACTCTGAAAATGTAACATGTATAAATTACAAAAAATTAAACAAGAAGAAGGTTCTTCCCACCACCCGTGGCTTTCATATGCTCTTAAGATTTGTTGGATTTAACTCGCAGACCCAGAGACCCCTCTTTTAATGGATCTGCTGACCTGTTTCACGGACAGGCTGTGATGCTGGATAACCCTTCTGGGAGTGTGCTGGAAGGCTTGACTCAGTGTTTCAACAACTTCTTTTTTTTTTTTTAAATCTAGTCTTGATAACTTACCTACAAACCTTATATCTACATAAAACAACATGATGTGATGGTGGGTGTTTGGTGCTCCTATAATATTCTTTTCTTTTATTAAATTGTTTGAAACCAGATAAATGGAGAAGCTTTTACTAATCAACATATTTCTTTCTAAGTTAATGATGAAAATTCTGTCAGAGGCAATACAAAATCTGTGGAAACGGGAAGTATTTTTGTCCCATTTCTGTATTTCACAGATGTCCAGGATCTTCAGTGACTGAGCTAGAACCTCTCCGCCGCTGGGTCCGGTATTACCAGACGAGCTGTTCACAGCCTGTTTCACTTCCTGGCACCCAAATTGCAAAGGTAGTGATTCTTTCCCCAATGTCTGTACTGTTGAGAAATTACTGCAACCCCTGAAGTTTTTATTTTTCTTGCAAAGCAAAAGCAACCACCCCTCCCCCCTAAAGCTGTGCCCTCAGAGAGATATCAGGCTGGGTTCAGCTGCTTCTGTCGTGAGTCAACAGAAATGCTGCTGCTTGGAATCAAGGCTCCAGCCTTAATGATCCGAACTCAAATGACAGGGCACTTAATTTGCTTGCCCCCAGATTATTTTTGTAAACTTCACTGGGATGATTCCCCTATATAAGGGGTAAGTATTTTTTCTCCGAAGCTCTTCTGCAGTCCCCCGGTCTTGCTGTTTTCATAAAGCATTTCTTTCACCAGTTCTGCAATGACAGAAAAGCACAGAGCCCAGGAAGGAAGAATTTGAGTTCCCCTAGGGGTTGTTGCTGAGAAATGAAATGAAGATTAGAATAGCTAAGACTAAAACTGAGGCTAACAGAGGTTTTGTCAGACGAATCAAAAGGAAGGTCCCTTTAGTCTGGAATACAAACATTTGAAGAAAAAGTTCAATACAGCTTTGAAAAGTCCATTTGGATTAACCTTCCTGAGTATCATCCTGTAGTTAAACTCGACATCTAAAGAATCTCATCCAGGCCTGTGCTTGTTTTCTTCTCTGAGCCCTTTATTAAAAATTAAATAGACCATGACAAATCTATCCATGCTAAAATGTAACTGAACTGAAAATTGATCCCTTAAAAAAGAGGGCAAAACACAACAAACCTCTGAGTAGTGTATTTCCAGCATCTTAATCCTACTCTGAAAATTACTGCAATGTTTAACAAGTTTAGTGGCAAAAACTTTTCCAGTTGTTATTTGAATTTACAGCATCTGATTCAGGGCAAGGAAAAAAAATACCTCTAAGACTTAGTAACTTTTGAGTCTCTAAAAATGAGATCAAGGTATCTCTGTAGAAATGGCGATTTCGCGTATCAAATAGAGTGGAATTACATGAGCAATTTTAGAAGTGAGGCAGAAGTTCCTCAAGTAACTAAATTTTGAAGATAAGTGGCACCATAGTGTCCTCTTGTGGTCTTTTATTGTCTGAGCTGTGACAGGTTTTCTAGAACAGCAGCAAAATTTCCAGTTGCAGTTAGTGTCTGAGCTCCTCTCTAACGTGACCTTCCCCTTGCCTTACTTTTCTCCTGGAAATGGCATGAGAAGGTCCACACATCGCGTCTCCCATAAGCACCCTGTCCCCAGCTCCTGACGTGTGGATGCACACACTGTGGTCCCCTCCAAAGGACCTCTTTCAGCCACTGCTTGTCTTTGTCACGGATTAAATAGATCCTGTGTTGGTGAGAAACCTTTGCAGCCAGATGCCCAATTCCTGGCCTGCTTTGTCCACAAGGCTGGTGCCACCCTCGGGTGCAGAGAAGCAGGAATGTGCTGAAAATGGTGAAACGCTGGCCATGAACTTGCAGAATTTCTGCCAAGCCTCACGTCCAGGGAAAAGCTGTACCTTGGCAGTGGCAATTTTTGTTGGGTTATTTTTTCTGATGGCCAGCTCTGGGCCATTTGTCACTCCCACTCTAGTGGAAAAAAATCTTTCAAAGCAATAAATAATAGTTATGGATCCACTGCTGTGCACTGCTCAGCCTTTCTCTTTACACAGTTTTAAATATCTGTATTTTTGCTTTTAAAAAGCATGTTGGCTTTAAAAATTGCAAGTATTTAATTCTTCCAGGTATCAGGGCTTTGTGCCTAACTGTGTGGGAGATAACTGAGCACAGTTCCAGTCTCCCAGAGATTATTTACTGTTACACGTCTATAAATCTGCAAACCTTCCCTGTAACCAACAAGCCAATTTCAGTTTTAATTGGAATATATTTTTTCCTGGGCCACTGCCCTGCTACTAACTCGATGATCCAGGATATCTCAGAAATACTTTTCATGTCATACAGTTTAGAAATTTCCCATGGTTTCACAGCACAGTTCATAGATGGTCCCACTGACAGAGAAAGAAGCATTATACTCTATATTAACAACGTTATCAACTATTATTACCAATTATAGATCAATTATTATCTAAACCATCAGAATGCAGGTATTCTATTCAAGAAGTTGAGGACATAAACGCTGCAGTCAGCGACAACAGCAGTTAACTGGCAGGTTCCTCCAGCAATGAGGCATTTCAAAGCTTCATTTACAGAAAGCTTTTTGAGATATCATGTTGTTATAGAGCACTCCAAACAATGTTAAGGGCAGCACAATTTTATGGATTAATTGAAAAAAAAAAAAATCATCATCTGAATTATAATTTTATGATGTATTTATTTCTAAGGAATACACTTTCTGCTTGGTGTTGATTTTGCCAGTTAGAAAAAAAATAAACTAGTTTATTTTAAAATTAGGCATCTCCCCATGAAATTCAGGAAGAAGGGAAGATAAGAAAAGCTGCCCTCAAATGCAGTTTCAGATGCTGGTTCTTCCTATCCTTAAATGGCAAATCCCTTTCATGGAGAAGGGAGTTGAAATGACGTTACGTTTTACTGTTTGATGGCCATTACCATCACGTGTGGCACGTCCATAACCTGACAGTGCTCCACAGCTCATTTGCAAGGGCCTTCCAGCACAGGTTCTTCACCCTCGGAGAGGGCTGAGGCAGGCGGTTCCCTCTGCTGTACCCTTGGAAGCCATCAGTGACGCTGCTTTTAATTCTTCCTTCGCTGTCCCCTAGGATGAGGCACAGCACGAGCACCCACAGTTGCTGTTTGCCGGGCAAGGGCTGGAACTGCCCCTGTCTGGAAGGGCTGATGCCCTCACCATCTCCTGCGGGGCTGGAGAAGCCAAGCTGCTGCTTTTAATGCTTGAGTGGTGCCACCTGTGAGAAGAAACGTTTGAGGCAAACTTGACCTTGCTTGCCTGCCCAGAGGATTTATATCAGGCTCTTCAGCAGTTCAACAAACTGCCCTTACAGAAAACCCAGAGCTTCTCAACCAACCTTTTTCTTTGAGCCAAATGGCATGGTTTCCTCTGGAAGGGACTGACCTTCCAGCTGGAAGCTTATACCTACTTAAGGTAGCTCACAATACCCAGTGGCTTACTAAGCAGGACCTGAACGGCATCTACACGATTTGTAGGTAATAAGCAATTTAAAAAGCAGCTCCTGATGGTGTGTCACAGAGCAGATGGTGGATTTGCTGCTCTTTAGGCTGCTGATTTTTACCAATGTTGTTAAGTTACACTACAGTACCGAAACTCAGGCCAGTCTTGATTCTGCTAAGCTGGTCTCAGTGTTTTTCACAGTGAAACCACCAGACTTCTTAGAATTGCAGTTTTTAATCTGTTGGGGGTGGAGCATGTACTGTGTAGAGAGGGGGAAAAAATAGATCAGTTTTATTCCCTCTGCCCTTCTGTTTTCACTCACCAGCCTGTACCCATAAGAAACCACAATCCCAAATTCCATTTAGCTTTGTAGAAAGCAGGTAATTTTCCATCCCTGTTATTTAATGAGAGGTAGCAATGTTGTCTCAGGTGAGTGCTGTAGTATTCTAGATGATGTAGGTTCATTCCAGCCTCATATTCCTATCAGAACACTTTCAAGCTTAGGATGGCCACAGGAACCACTTCTGAATGAAGTCATACTCAGTATTCAGTCAGACATACACGAGAATGTGAAACATTCAGTTCAGCCTAATGCCGCTAATTAGGAAAAGAGATAAAAATAATTGAAGTTGGCCAGCTTGACTATCACGGTAAAATAAAGCAAAGGGCCTCCACCTCCAGAGACACAGGCAATTAAAGCAGAGAGCGACCGTATGCAGGGAAAGGAGACCTTGTGGTAAAACCATGACAGAATAATTAGGAGCAAAGGGATGGAATTCAGTAAAAAAAAAAAAAAAAAAAAAGGTAATCACCGAGGTTGAAATTTCAGTTCTTTTACAGACCAGCTGCTGAACAACAAAGTTGGTATGGGCAGATAACTTATCTTTAAATATGGGCTGTCTGCAAGTAAGTAAAGGACCATTGTCTTTAGACAAAAGAAGTATTTTTGCTTCAATAAACTTGAATAGTTTCCTAGGGCTAAATTCTCTCCCAAGACATTTGGCTGTAGTTTCCAGCCCACAGAGGGGAGTTACTGGTATATGTGCATGAGCTTGATTTTATTTTTTTTTTCCCCTCATGGGGTCCAATTTCAGTGCCATTGATTTCGTGATGCTAAAACGTTTTGTGGTGGCCTTGATGCATTTTTTGATGCCTAAAGAAAGACAGCTCCTGGCCAGACCTGCTTTCAAAAGCAAGATGAGAGGGAAGTGCCCAGTTTATTTCTTCTTCCTGAATAAGCATGACTCCATTAACTCTTGAGACTTCTTTCTTGTAATCCCTGTCTCCTTTTTCTAGGACAACTTACTTCAACCAGATGCTTTCACTCCAAAGCTTTATAAAGTGGAAAACGGGAAAGAAGATGACAGAAGACTAAGCATGAACTAACTTGCTTAATGGTGAGTTATCATCTTGCCCTTTTTCTATATAAAATTCTTTGCCCCTATCAATTAATACGTAATTGTCCTTCTTTTTTTGGTGGACTCTAGTTTATTAGGTCATACTCACTATGAACACTAATGAAACATAAATCAACCAAAGAAGGTTAAACAGAAAATTCTATTTTTTGGCCAATTGTTCCACTTTCCTCTGGGGAAAAAAAATACTGCTGGAGATAAAAGTGGCCCAAGAGGTGCACCACGATGTTTCTGGTCTGTCTGAACTAATGCATCTAAAATCAACCGAAATGCTTTCTAAATTATCAAAATTGGCCTACCTTGCCCACAGAAATTGCTGGTAAAGCTTTAGAGACCTCAGTGGGATCATTTCTACAAATGTACTCATTTTAGGGTTACTGGGGAAAAAATATCTCTCCTAGCAAGACACCATGGGTTTTGAATAGGGGTTTTTCTCTCCTCCAAAACCGATGAGGTTGTTACTGAGACGCATGGGACAACGTGAAGATCGTTGTTGTTTTCCTCAACAGAGCAAAGAAACAAAAATAAGAAAGCACAGGAGCCTTAGAAGTCTTTCCACCTGCCTGATCAGTACCAGGAGGTGTAATTGCTCTGGCTTTCCCCCGAGGTGGTCTACCAGCGAGTTTGTGTGAAGTGAACTGAGAGACCCGTACCCCCTTGGCAGCAGTCACTCCACAGCATGGATCCTTCTTGCTTATTTGGAAACCTAACTAATTAAAAGTAGACTTATTACTCAGTTCTTACGAACAAAGCATTCTCCCTCCTTTGTCTCCCTTCTGCTTGTTACACATTTTTCTTTCCCCCAGTGACCCGGGGGTTGCTTTGTCAAAAAGGCAGGACAAATTCAGAAAGGTGGGGATTAGGTCCTTCTTTTGACACAGGACGTGTTGAAATAGCCTTATCTTCTTCCCCTGCTCTAAGATTTATACCCTTCCAAAGACTGCTATGCAATCTCAGGACACAACTTACATCAGTGCTGGGCTGGCTTGTCACCATACACAGATTTCTTGACTGAGGAGTATTTTAGTGAAAATCTTCAGAACTAGCTGGAGGTGATACTCCATAGTAAAATGCACAAACTGCTCTCCAGAGCTTTTTTTTCCTGACGATTACATAATGCATTTAAAAGGGATCTTCTTACTTTCAGGGCCAGCTTTCAAACGCAGACAATGAATAGCATTATCAACTATTAATTCATGTTCAAGCTCAGCGGGAAGGCTCTCCTACACCAAACGCAGGCCAAGCTGCCCATGGCTGGCGCCAGCTCTTTCGAACGCGAAAAGGAAGAATTGGATTTTTGCTCCCCTGGGGGGACAAGATGCCGAGAGGCCGGTGAGCCCCGGCCTGCACAGGCCCTGCCGCCGGCCAGGCGGCCGCGGGGCTCCTGAGGGGATGTCGCGCCCCACCGCCGCCATCACCCGCACCAACGACGGGGCAACCCCGGCTCCCAGGCCCCGGTTCATCTGTCCCCGGCCGTCTGCTGCCGTGGCAACTGTCTGCTTGGCCTGTGGCTAGGAACACCTCCGGCTCCAGCCAGCGCTTAGCTTCCCCCAGCGCCCCATTCCACCCCGCGCCTTTTGTCTGGCCATCCCTCCCCCGGGCTCCCCTCAGCGGGCTCCGCGCAGCCGGCGAGCAGAGCACTCAGGGGGGAAACCGCCCGGCTGCCACCACAGGCGCAGGAAGCGGGGACAGCTGCCGCCGTAACCGAACTTAACCATAACTTGCATAAAAATAAACTCCCCTCTTCCCCCTGGGGGTGACAGCGCGCCTTTCACCGCTCTGCCCTTCACCCGCCCGGTTTAACGCTCCGCTGGGGGCCGGGACACTGTTCCGTCGCCGCGCTCTGCCCCTCCGAAACCCCCCGGGGCTCCGGCTGCACCCCCCACACTCTCCCCTAAGGATGCTTCACCCCCCGCCCGCCGTCCCGCCGCCACCATCCGGCCTGGGGCGGGCGGCGCAGGGGACCCCCCTGCTCCAAACCACGGAAGGGCCCCGCCGCCCGGCCCCGGGGATCGGCCCCAGCCCCGCAGCCGCCCCCCCCCCGGAGCCTGGGCGCGGCGCGCCAACGCCCTGCCCGCATCGCTCTGCCCAGCAAATGGCGGCGAGGAGGAGGAGGAGGAGAAGGAGGAGGAAGGCTCGTCGGGGGGATGCGCTTGTGCGGGATGCGGGGGGCAGGAGGAGGTAGCAGCGGGCAGAGTGCGGGAGGGGGGACGCGGGGAGCCCCGGAGAGCAGCGCCTGGCGGCTCCTTCCCTAACACCGCCCGGGGCCGTTAGGGCAGAGGGGAC